GATAATGTAGCTTCGGCCAGTAAGTGGGAAAAGAAAAAGAGAAAGATTGGAGAAGATGATGTAGAAGAAGATGATGATGTTGAAGACATCATGACAGGGAGTCCTTCTAAACCTAATCAGAAGTTCAAGCCATCTGATCAAGAGCTTAGGGAAAAGATGGATCATTTGGAGAAAGAAATGAAAGAAAAGGAACTCGTACAGAAAAAGAAGTCAATGTTTCTGGAATGGACCATTGAATCGCTCCAGAGAGAAGTCATTGATGAACCGAGTACTCACTGGCTTGAACCTGTGATGTCGTTCGGTCTTGAGAACTCGAAGGATGCTCAATTCGATATGCCAATCAACCGAAAGGCATTTATCTTCCATTACTTTACCTCAACTGCTGTCGTTCCCTCTCCAGACCCGAAGGTAGATCGGGATTTATTGGAATTTTATCGGGAGTTTGCTCAGCCACAATACTTGACATGGAGCCTGAAGAAAATTACAATAGGTCAAGGTATTGAAGCCCTCTTCGGCTGGGAAATTTGTTAATGTCAAATTCAAAGTAACCCGAGGCTCGGATAGCTCGGTCCATACTGTTTCCCTGGCTGATCTACCGAACTTGAACACGCATGACTGGATACTCCTCAACAACATTATGTTATCCAATCCACTGGAGTATCAGCCGATTATTGATCACATCAAGCAAATGCATGTTTGTTACATTCACGAAGTAGCTAATATGGATCAAGAAATCGCATCTGCCATTCACAAGCTGACAAGAAGTTGTTCACCGATATGCTTCGTTGGTACATTCAGTTTCGGCAGACACTTCTTGCGATTATCCCTCGGCTGTTCAAGGTTGTGAAGCAGGTCAAGGTCACTCAACCAAAGTAGTATCTCGCCTTTTTGACGCAAAGGGGGAGAATGTTGGGTCTAATTGTGTTGCGTCATTGGGCTCGATCCTTAGCCCAATTTTGTTATCCGGTTTGGGCGTATCCAACCGTGATTATTTTATTAGGGTTTAGTATTTATGGTGCATGCATGCATCCTTAGTAGATATCGCTTTTATTATTTTCATTATTGTACTACAAACCCTAGCACGCCTCTACAGTGGAAGTTCTTGATCGAGCTCTGCTGAGGCGTGACTACTTTGAATCATTAAGCATTATTTGATTCCATCTTGTGTTTTCTGTGTTTGCTTGTTTGTTTTTGTTGTTTAACCTGTTAAAGATCTAATCGATCAAAGAGTTTTTCAACTCAACACCAAGACATAGTCTCCAATCCCAAAAGTGCAATAGATCGTACAATCAATCGTTACCGCCCGATACAAGAGATCCAAGGTGAATCGGATCTTAACTCCTAGAAGTCGGAATGGTAATCGCGTACACCTCATAAGATACTCATGCCACATCGACCCGCCTGCGCTCACCAGCGCTGAAATACTGACTCCAACCCCTGCGACTAGCTGACCCGAGATGGAACACAACCTGATTCTGGGGTCCCAAGTCTGCCCACTCCTTTGAGCTCGAAAACTGAAAGGGCACAATCCTTGCCCTATAAAACGACATTCCAATCCACCAATTAACCATTCTACTTCCCGCTGCAAAACCCCAGCTGGACATAATCATCAATCCTTTCCGGAGTCCTCGCGACTCACATTCTGGCCTCGAGCAAAACCCCCGAAGCCCCAAATATAGAACCTCATGTGCTAGACTCTCCCGCTCAACCTGCAGAATGTAACGAGTACAGAATATCTCCCTGGTCCCAAGTAACTGCAGCCCTCTGCTCATCAGAATATGTCTTAGTAACAAATCCCGGTACCAGAAAGCTCAACCAGCTGCTCCCCTTGCCGTCGTTACAGCTATTATAGCTGCCGCGGCAACCGTCTCGGCAATGGCTGCATAGAGCTCGTCGAAATACTCAACCATGGCGGTCTTAATAGACCTAAACATCTCCAAAAATTGTCCCCAGACAAACTCAATCACCTCCTCCCGGATGATCTCACTGACACGGTCATCTAACAATGCTGGCCTATCCTGGCTACCAGCTCCCGATCCTAACCTGGATCCGGTCTCAAGACGTCTCGTAACCATCATTCTGGTAAGACACCAGAAAGATCTCTGATAATCCATATAATGACAGGCGAACAACTCTCAACCAAACCTTAGGGGTTGTGACTTCCTTGCTACGCGTATGGGTCCTGTGCTTTCAGTAGTACGGGCCCATACTACCTTCCACACCTACCCATATTTGTCTCAAGTATCATCACAACACCCTAACAATATACATAAATATAGCAAGCGCTCAATCCTCACTCCTAGAGGAATGCTAAATGTTCTGTAACTGGCCTCCCGGCCTCACATAACCCGCCCATCCATGAAACTTCCACCAACCCTGCAGCACTAGTGTATGCTAGTCATACATAACGTTGGACCCGATAGACTTTCGAATATCCGATCCCACCTTAAGCCCCCAGTCAAACAATAACAGAACATAAGGCCAAATCAAACATTATCATGCTATAAGATCTTAATTATGTATAACCGTGATGCATACACTAAGTAACTACAATAATGATGTCAATCTCATATAAAGGAAACCCTAGGCTAGCAGGCATAATGTAATCAAGCAATTCTATCATGCAATTCCTGAAGATCCCTAGCCTAGCACTAGCATGCTGTTCTAACATATCACATAATCAAATAACTGTATGGTATTTTGGGGTCTACTTACTGGCTCCGGCTGATCGTACACTCTGCGTCCTCATTTACTTATTTTGAAAACCATTTTAGGAATCATTTTGAAAACCTTTCCTTGATTTGAGACTGGATTCACATGAATGTTCCTCCAATTCACTCAAACCAAGGCTCTGATACCAACTTGTAACACCCATAAAATTCAAGCCAAATTAAAACTTTTTAATACATTTTAAAACCATCAAGCTATTATAGTTTATTTTCAAAATAGTTTAGACATCAGAGTATCCCCAGAATCAATTCACAAAAACCATAAAATATGAGGAGCTGTACGATCACCCCTTTGCCTTCCTGCGATCATCTGATGTACCTGAAACAATAAACTGAAACTGTAAGCCCGAGAGCTTAGTGAGTTACCCCAAAATACCAACACCATACAAACATAACCATATCATATAACCAATAGAGAACAGCATGCATAATGAGTCGTTATCCTGACTGGACCGCCTCACAGGCCTTCAGTCTATATGGACTGTTCTCCGCGCCTTCGGCACGTCTGGACCGCCTCGCAGGGCCTACAGCCTATCCGGACTGCTCGTCGGGCCTTCGGTCTGAATGAATCCCTTTGCAGGGCCTTCAGGTTATCCGGACCGCCCTGGGTATATTGGCCTCCAGCACAAAGCAGGACTGCCTCAACCCAACCCCAAATCAAACCAGCATGTGTACATAAATATCATACACTTGCATATATATCCTATAACTAGGTCACTAACATAGATATCATACACTTACATAAATCAAACAGTCATACCAATCTAACAGATCACCAATCATAGCAACATCCTATAACTAGGATACCGACCTAACTAGGTTACTAACATAGAATCATCCTATATACAAGGATACCGATATAACAATCATAATAGCATAACAACATCCTATCTACCAGGATACCGATCTAACATATCATAACAGCATACAAGCATACTATAACCAGGGTACCGATCTAACCGAAATCTAACATAGCAACCATCCTAAACCAGGATGAAATCTAGCATATCAATAACATAGCAACCATCCTAAACCAGGATGTAATCTAGCATATCAATAACATAGCAACCGTCCTAAACCAGGATGTAACCTAGCATATCAATAACATAGCAACCATCCTAAACCAGGATGTAATTAGCATATCAATAACATAGCAACCATCCTAAACCAGGATGTAATCTAGCATATCAATAACATAGTAACCATCCTAAACCAGGATGTAAATCATAAATGGTCGGCCTTGGTGCCGTAGACCCTGTTGATATAGTGAGGATAACTCACCTGGCATTGCTGAAGTCCCGCAGATAAAACTCCAGCTGCTGGTTGACAGCTTCCCGAACTGTCAACATCAAACAATACCCAATTAATAATTGGTTCCAAGTCCAAGGTCCAACTCACACTCCAAAGACCCAAAAAGTCAAGTAATGGCCCAAAGCCCAACATATGGCCCAATTTTCCAAATTGGGCCCAAACCTGCACCTGGTCTTACCTTAAGGCCCATCCATTAATTCTAGTCCGAACTCTTGGTATTCCCATGGCCCAATATCACATAATCATAAAGGCCCAATTATAGCCCATCAATGGCCCAATTTTCTAAATTGGGCCCAAGACTCTCACATGGGCCTTTTCCTAAAACCCATATAATTATTTAGTCCATTTGCTTATTGTTGGAAGCCCATTAATAGTCCAATCACCAAAGCCCAATAGGAAGGCCCGACTCAAGGCCCAAGTGAAATTAGGGCTTTCACATGAAATAATGGTTAGGGTTAAGAGTTTCTTACTTAACCCATTAAGGACTTAATCCATTAAGTCCATTATTGCATTAAGCTAGTTTGCCAATGATTATTAATTATTATTTTAGGTTTAATAATTAATTCTCGTGTGTGTCCCAAACGATTCCCACAATTAGGGTTTCATGGCATTAGGGTTTTTCCCAAACCCTAACTAGGGTTTCCAACCCAATTACTAGCCGATTAATCAAATGGTTGGGCTTTTAGGTCCATTAGGGCTTCATTGGGCCCATTAAGGTCTCATTGGGCCCACTAGGGTTTCTTTTGGCCCGTTAGGGTTTAGTCCTTTGTCCAAACATCCAACAAGCAATCCTAACACAACTAAACACACCGCCACCCGACACGATGGCCGGTGGTGGTTTTGACTTTCTTTCCATTATTCTATTTGTACAATTTACAATACCATCCAAACACACACACACACATACTAATAATACACACACACACTAATACACACACACAGCCACTTTAACACACCCACCTACGGTGGTGCATGGCGGCAGCGGGGTTTTCCTCGAATCTCCGGCCAAGGAACGATCTCACAGCCCTTACACGTGAAACACACGCACACAAACACTCCTCCGCTTGCGAGATAAGCTCGGTCACCCACCTGGTGGCGTGTAATGATGGCAGTAACAACCCAAATGGCCACAACCATGACTACCGGCGGCGGCGGATAGCCACAACGAAACCCAACAGCAGCAGGTTCGACCTGCCCTTCATACGACCACAGCTCCGGTTCAACCTCTCGTCTACGGCCTCCGACGTCCCACAGGGAGCTCCTTGTTGCCCACAACATCCGGCAGCGGCGGCAGAGGACTGAAGAGGGTGACAGCAGCAGCAACGACTAACGGAAATACGAGAAGAAGGATGGTGGCAGGCGGTGCTCATGGTGTCCTCTTAATTTTACCGGAAGGAAAACAGCCGCAAAATTGGAGATGGCGGCAACCGGAGCACCACAGAAAACAGCCACTCAAGTTGTGATGGCGACGGGCACGGCTGGGGCGTATCTTCGCTGAAACAGAAGGAGAATGGCAATCAGGAGTGACCACAGCAGGAACCCCGTCGACGACCTTGGTTGAACGGAACTAGGGTGGTGGCGGCTGGAAGCACAACAGGAAGGTGGCGGCTGCGAGAATTAGGTTTAGGGTTAAAGGGGGGTTGCATGCGGTTAAAGAATATATATATATATATATATATATATATATATATATATATATATATATATATATATATATATATATATATATATATATATATATATATATATATGGGGCTAACAGGGCGACGGGGAAGGGAGCCGGGTTCAAGTCCCGCTCCATACAACTTATACACATTTTACATATCTGGCCCCTCCCCATGAAATCTATTTCAAAGTAAGGGTACAATTTACAAAACAACCCCCAACATCCAAAATTTATAACAATTCAAGCCCCAAAGGTTACCATATAGCCCCTCCATGACAATTTCTTTTCAACTTAGGTACATAATTTACCCATTTAACCTCATCCATCCAAAATCCTTTCATATTAAATCCAAATGATACCAAACACCCCTTGACTTATGAAAATCTTTACAAATTAAGTCCCAAAATTACACTTTAACCCCTACAGATATAAATCTTGTCATTTGGCTTCCCGAACCAACTCCCAACTAATTATTATTTGGTTTTGGACAATAATAATATAAAATCATAATAAAATTACTTCTCGAGGTTTCGGATTTATCATTAATTATCCCATTTTAAACAGGATGTTACAAGAAGGGCTTAGAAGGGTTTTTGAGGTGAAAGTGTGAGAAAAATTGTAACCAAAACCCGGAGGTCTCGCATGCTATTTATAGGAGGTTGAGGCCTCGCCGTACGATGGGCGTACTTCGGTATGCACAGCATACCTTCGTACGTTGTGTGTACGAGATACGAGTCCTCTGATCGGGTTCCGAGCTTCGGATGTGTCAAGGATACTAACACGCATCGAAGCTAGTATGAGTACGTTGGGCGTACTCTTTTGTACGCGGGGCGTACTCCTTCGAGAATTAATATTTCAAACTTCAAAAATTCATAACTTTCGCATACGAGCTCAATTTTTGACGTTCTTTATATCCACGCGTAGGTGAGACCGTGCTCTACAACTTTTAGTTAGACTCTGTTAGCTAATTTTCACTTTATTTATAAAGTTATATGTTTAACAAGCCGGGACAGGAAAAGTCCCTTAAAAATTCATAACTTCTTTATCTGACGTTCGTTTTCATCTGTCTTTTTACCTTTGAATTTCTATTGACAAGATCTCCGATTCTCGTTTAGGTTGTTTTGACTAAAAGTTTTTTCGATCTGAAATTCGAGTTTTGGGCTGCATACTACTTTGCCAACTCTTAGAAAATTCATAACTTCGTCAAAAGAAGTCAGATTTGGACGTTCTTTTTATGCACACTCTCGGTTTTACGTATACTAAGACTTTCATTTAGATCGTATAAGCTAAAATGTATTTTATCGTAAATTCACTTTTACGTCACACAACGTTGTGTCGGTTCTGTCGCGAAACTTCGATAGGTCATAACTTCTTCGTTACAACTCGGATTTCAGCGTTCCTTATATTACCAGAATCCTTGTCACGACCACTACTACTTTCCTAATAGATATCATGCTTATTTAACATTTTATTTTTGAGGATCAAATAAGTAAATGCACATCATATTCAAATAATTTCTCTTTATTACTTTTAAAACTAGTTACAAGTTAATCTAAACTATTACATTGATTTGAAATAACGGGTCGTTACACATTTCTTCGTCATTGTATACATAACTGAGATTATACAGGTATTTTCTAAATGGATTATTCAACGCTGGCATGTATGGAATTTTTTGATTATTTAGATTCCCACTAGTCCAGTAGGGTTGACCTCGTCTTCGAATCATTAATCTCTTAGATGCTTCATCAGTTGGTTCCCAGCTCAAAGTAAAAACACCAAAATCAGCAATATCATTGCTCAAGCAAGAAGTTAAGTTCCAGTTCATTCCCGTTCTAAGGTCCGACCCAAGTTTCATACCTGGTAAGAGAACATTGGTTGGATAATCAAAACTCTGCCATAGAGTCCGGTTGTCAGTTTCGTTTTTCAGCCAGAAATTACCCGTGTCTTCGAGAGTTGCTGTAATATTAGAATCAAGACTGGATTGATTGTCAGATATGTTTACAAGTGTTGTTCCTCTAGTGGCGATGATCAATTTTCCAGTGTCTGGATCGATCATGAAGACACCAGAGCTGGATATGATCGGTGTGGATTGGTTGGCTACCCATACTTTGAAGGTTTCATCATTGGTATACCAAATTCCTACATATATGTAGTTTGTGGTGTTAAAGAACCCTACGGTGAAGTTGCCACCCGGGGAAACAAGCTGAGACGTAGTGAGGTTGAGTTGGTCACCAGCTTTGATAGTTGAAACACCGGTGGACGAGAAAAGGTTTATGATTAGGATGGTATATAGAATTGTGAAGATGGTTAGAATCTTCATTTTTTAGTATTTTAATGGAAATAAAAATACCTGAATTTGAATCTTGAGAGTTTGATGCTTTATTATATTATAGGGTTCTGATCTATCAGGAGCCATCAATGACAATTTCTCTTTTGTCAACGAATTTGAAGAAAGACGGAGTCAGAAATAGTTTTAAAATTGGATACCATGAAAGCGACAGCCAAAAGACCGGGCTCATCATCGTCGATCACCGTTCCATTGTGACACCATCTGATTCTTTTTCACTACCGGAGTACCCTTCACCAGGACAGTTCCAGAGCAGCAGAAAGGACCCTCAACAATCGTACCACATATAACCGTTGATAATAAGTATTGTCGATATCGGATTATCGTCCATCGGGGCCGGAAAGGCTGATGGAACAGCGAAGAGCATTCCCACCGGTCCATTGGACCTCTATGTACAGTCTACACGTTTTCTATATGCGGTAGTCCGTAAACTTTGAATTGTGGGGGTGTTTAATCAAATATACAACAATACAACAAATCGTAATAAAACATGTTATGAGCTTGTTTCCCATGGAGTTTTTCAATGTTTTTGAGTGTTTTTTATTTTAAAAAAATGATTGAAAAGAAAAACTACATTGGACAATGAGACTTTTTAGTTTTCTTTAAACAAAAAGTTTTTAACATAAAATCTTAGATAAATCACATATTTGTTTTATAGTTTGCAAAAATAAAATAAAATAAAATAACTACAGGTTTTTTTAAGAAGTTTGGACACGAAGAGTATTTTTCTCGTTTCAATCATACTATATTATAAAGGAAACATTTTTTTTCTTTCACCACATTAATTTGAAACTCCCATGCATTTTTCTTTTCACTACATTCATTTTAAACTCTCATGACTTTTCAATTTATTTCTAATAATGATTATAAGTTGGTTAATAATATTAAATAAATATCAAACCTAAAGTGTAATCATATATAAACTAAATTTCAATATTAAGATAATATCTTTACTTCTACTTATAAAGTTATGTTTTTTTAACTTTTTACATATTATACTTAATTTATTAGTTTTAATATATTGTTGGATGTAAACCATTATCATTTTAAAGCTACAACTTTTGAACAATTTATATTAAATATTTAAATTATAAATTTAACTTAAACAATCCAAATAATATTTTGTAAATAGGTAAAAGTGATAAATTGTAGTGTCTTTCAAATAATGATTACAATTTGGTTAATAAGGTTAAATAAATATCTAACCTAAAGTGTAATCATAAATAAACTAAATTTCAATATTAAAATAATATATTTACTTCTACTTATAAAGTTATGTCTTTAACTTTTAACATATTATCCTTAATTTATTAGATTTAATATGTTGTTGTATGTAAACCATTATCAATTTAAAGCTATAATTTTTGAATAGTTTGGACAAAATACTTAAATTGTTAATTTAAATATATAACATTAAAGTGTTAACTTAAATATAAATTTCAGTTCCACTAAAAAACTCAATGAATATTTTGTGAATAGTTAAAAGTCATAAATTGTAATGCTAAATGCAAAAACTAAATTATAATATCAATTTAACTAAAATATTTCCTAAAAATATTTGTATAATCATTAAAAGTTTTCAAATAAGTAGTTTAAATTCACTTACAATAACAATAGTTAAAAATAACTCTATATAAATGATTATTACCTTTAAAATCAAAAAACAATGACTAATGTTTTAAATAATTATAATGATAGAAATTAAAATGTTAAGAAAAATAAATTTTAAAAAATTAATTAACAATAACAAAAACTATAAATAACATTAAGCCGTATATTATGTTAAATTTTATTCATGAGTAACTCGCGGGTAGAAATCATTTAAACGGTTGAGATTATACAGATATAATAGGTGTATATATTATCATATAATTCAAAATAATCAATATATTATATCAATTTAGTATACGGATTATTATATCAAATTTAACAACAACATTATTGTTATATTTAAAAAAAAACATATATTTGTAAAGATTTCAACTATATATGTATTTATGCGCAACGCGCGGGCATTTGCCTAGTTTTCAAATAAATATGGGAGATTCTTTTGCATGTTAACATTTTTTTTTAAGTTATTTTTGCCAAGAGACCATTTATGTAATTTGTTCTTGTGACATGGACCATTTATGTAATTTTATCTATTATTTATTATTGATTTTTATATATTTTTATGATTTAATTTTTTTTTGACGTTTTGTTCGAATATCTTGTTTACGTGGCTACTATAATAATAATGTGTAACATAATTTACTTAAATCATGTTTTTCCATTTCTTTTTTGTTCTTGTAATATAAATAAGATTGTATTATTATTATTTTTTATTCAAATATTTAATTAAATAAAATAGACAAGATTATACAATTATTATTTTTTACAGATAAGGTTATATAATTACTACTTTTGTAGAGCTTTTTATAAATATTTTTTATAAAAAAGTGTAAAAAGATTTTTAAAACATGAATAGTAATATAGATTAGGTATAAAGTTATTTATTTTATCATAATTAATATATAGGCTAATCGGAATCCGAAATATGTATATAAAAGTTTATAATGGTCACGGGAAAACAAACAAAACAATGATTATTAGTAGTTTATGATCACACTTTAATTGCTTATGAGTGACGACAAGTAAACAATGTTAACGTTAAAGGAAGGAAACATGTGACTATCAGTAATTTATAGTCATTATTTAATAATAATAAACAAAGTATGCCTATATGTAATTTATGGTGACAGTCTAAGTTATTGTGTGTGTTTAAAAGTAAACAATGGTCATGATAAAACAAAAAAACATATGACTATTAGTAGTTTATGGTCACACTTAAATTGTTTATGGGTGTTGAAAGGTAAACAATAATAATGTAAAAGGAGACAACATCCGACTATAAGTAAATTATGGTCAATGTTTAATAATAATAATAATTAGGGGTGAGCATGGTGCGGTTCGGTGCGGGTTTTTGTCAAAACCGAACCAAAAACCACAGCTTCGGTTTCTTGAAGTTTAGAAACCGCACCGTTCGGTTTTTATGCGGCTTGATTTTTGCGGTTCAATTTTTTTTCAGTTTTTTTATTTGGTTTTTGTTTTGCCTTTTTACTAAAACTCAGGTAACTCAATGAGTTACTTCGACTCGGATGAGAAGTGTTAATCATTTTTTAAGAAACTTTATGTAGAGATGAGGAGCACCAAATTTTCATCCCCAACAATGTACGACTCCTCAAATATGTGGGTTAAAAGCCATAGACTTGACTCTCTTATATCAAATGTGAGAATAGTGAAGGTTTTATCTCAAATGCGATGAGGGATACTCTTATAAGGCTGAGAAATTTAAAGTCCATATGATATCTTGGAGATGAACCGATACCACCACCTCTTGGTTTGAAATTAAATAACATAACCACTTATCTAACATACTTCTAATGTTTGAATATAATACGAATTAAATATAATATTTTTTTTCATAGGTACATATGATAATATCAATTAATGTATTCATAAAACTGATATTACCATCACTAGTACTCTTAATATTAAAAATGTTAAACAATATAATAAACATTATTTGTTTTTGTAAATATCAGTATATATATGCTTAAAAATACACATAAAAATACACAATCATCTCCTATGATAAGATAGATATTTCTATTTATAGAAAATTTAATTGTCATGAGTTCTTCGTTTATACAAATGTCACCACTTAATATATATATATATATATATATATATATATATATATATATATATATATATATATATATATATATATATATTATATATATATTCGGTGCGGTTCGGTTTTTTTGTGGTTTTTGCAAGACTAGAAACCGCACCGCACCGAACATTTTTGGTTTTTGCAAAACTAAAAACCGCACCGTCGGTTTTCATTTCGGTTTTGGTTTTTTGGTTTCGGTTTATGCGGTTTTTTCGGTTTTTCCCGTTTGCGGTTCAGTTTTTGCTCACCCCTAATAATAATAAAGTACGACTATAAGTAATTTATGGTGGCAATTTAAATTATTATGTGTATCTAAAAGTAAACAATGGTCATGGTAAAACAAAAAATGTATCTCTATTAGTAGTTTTATGTCCACACATTAATTGATTTTGTGTGTCAAAATACATTAATTGATTATGTGTGTTGAAAAGTAACGATATTGATGATAAAGGAAAAACATGTGAATATAAGTAATTTATGGTCATTGTTTAAGAAAAAAAATGTACGGCTATATGTATTTTATGGTCACGATTAAAAGGAAAAAAATCTTGTAGCATAAGTATTTTTATGGTGACCGTATAAGTTCTTATGTGCGTCTAAAAGTATACAATGATCATGGTAAAATAAAAAAACAGATGATATTATGGTCATACATTAATTGATTATGTGTGTGTCGAAAAGTAAACAATACTAACGGTAAAGGAAAAAATATATGACTATAAGTAAGTTATGGTCATTGTTTAAGGAAAAATAACGTACGACTATATGTATTTTATGGTCACAGTTTTTAGGGGGAAAACTTGTAATATAAGTATTTTTATGGTGACGGTTTAAGTTATTATGTATGTCAACCAAAAGTATATAATTGTTACGGTAAACCAAAAAACATATTATTGTTAGTAGTTTATTGTCACACTTTTAATTGCTTATGTGTGTTAAAAAGTAAACAATATTAATGTTAAAGGAAAAACATATGACTATAAGTAATTTATGGTCATTGTTTAATAATAAAAAAGTACGACTATAAGTAATTTATGACAACAATCTAAGTTTTTATGTGTCTCTAAAAGTAAATAATCGTCATGTTAAAACAAAAAATATATGACTATAAGTAGTTTATGGTTACGCCCTAATTGCTTATATGTGTCAAACATTAAACAATACTAAGGATAGAAAGAAAAACATGTGACTATAAGTAATTTATTGGCACATTTTAAGATTAAAAAAGCATACGACTATAAGTATTTTACGGTAA